TTTTTTTTTATTTTCTTGACATTTGAAACCAGTTTGATTTATCAAATCTGCTCTTAAACTAAGAAAAAAAAAACCACATTAATATGAACATAAAGTATACATACATATACCGTGATATATGTCAAGCATACTTTTGTTCTTTAAGCTGGGATACTTGCAGTATTTGAATAACTACTTACAGGAAATATTGTGTTTGACTTATTTTAGCTCCGACAGCTCCCAGAAACCTTAAGTTGACTGTTGAGTCATCCACCTCGATAAAGGCATCGTGGACTAAGCCCCTGAAGATTAATGGTGTCTTTAAACGTTATGTGGTGATGTACGGCTTATCGAAAGACAGCTTGAGTAAATCGTTTTATTCCTTTACCACTGAGTACTCACTGGCCCCGCTGGATGAGTTCACTACTTATTATGTTCAAGTGCACGCTGAAACATCTGTAACGGGGTTGTCTTCCGACATTATCTCGGCAAGGACAAATGAGGATGGTTAGTGCAGTACATTAACGGTATTGGTTGTTTTTTTCGCTTTGTTTGTTTTGTTCTTGTTTTTTGTTTCTTTTGCTTTTTTGGCTTTTTTCTTCGTCGATGGTTGCCGGAGGTAGCTACATGTAGCATCAAGCAAATAACTAACAAGTACCACCATTATTTTCAATGTTGCCATCATGTAATGTTACGGGTGTTTATTGCTTTTGGTCATCAAATGTGATCTCCTCGGATGATTTACTGAGTGTAAATAAACGCAATAGATATAGAGAACCAAAGCATTAGCACAAACAGGAGATAATGAGTTCATGGCCATGTACTATTTGTCTTTGAGAATGGTGACCTACCAACAATACGTCATGGTTCATATCGTTTATGGATTTTCTTAGATTCAATATATAAGTTAGGTAAAGATGGTAGCTGACATAGATCTTTTAATTCTATTTTTGACTTACGAATAAAGCTCCCAGCTCTGCTCCAATCATTGATAGAAAAGAAACAAAAGCCGAGGATGCGCACACCATAAGAGTCAAGTGGAATGAAATTGCAAAGGAGGATCAAAACGGCTTCATATTGGGTTATGCGGTTTTATACAAAGAAAAAGGCCAACAAAACAGTTTCAGGTTGAACACAACATCGACAGACACCATAATTAGGCGCTTGAAACCATATACGGAATACTGCATCCAAGTTCAAGGGTTCACAAAAGCTGGGGAGTCACCATTCAGCCCCTGCTTTGATGTCAGGACATTGGATAAAGGTATGTCACCTTTAAATTAACTTTGATTTATCATCATGCTTGAATTAGGGAGGTTGTTAATTAGCAAAACAAACACAACGAAATCGACGGCAAAATAACTAAACAGTTGAATGAGACGTAAATCAGGGTCAACAACATTCAACTTCTGAAGAAAACGTTTGTTTCTGCTCTTCAATACAGTGTTTTTCTTGAGGCGCAGAATAGTAGTTTTATAGGCACAGGGAAGTCACTAAATAGAAATGACCAAAACTCTGCTGATGTTCTTTTGGTATGTTACCCCAGCACCCTCTCCCCCGCCGCGTTCCTATCCTAAGCTACGCCCTTGAAGAGAGAGCTGTGAATAATTTGAGGCACTTCAAACAGTACTTTGTTATGATTGGACCACTCAAACGTGTACAAATCCTGTGCTGTTAATTTTTTGGATAGGTCCAAGCCAACCACTCAATGTTCAAGTTCAAGCCGTTTCTTCCGTTTCAATTCTTGTAAAGTGGGATGCACCAGCTCACCCTAATGGAGAAATAAAAGAGTATATAATATTTTATGGAACCAGCTACGATGTACAGACAAATGAGCGAAAAGTCACTGGAAGCTCGCCCGAACTAAGTATACATGGCTTGTAGAACTATACCACGTACTATGTGAAAGTCAGGGCTAGTACCTGGGAACCAGGAAATGCTTCTGAAATGTTCATTCTTACAACTTTCGAAGATAGTTAGTAAATACTAATGATTCAAGTATTTCAAGTGTTAATTAATTCCCGGAAACGTCATTTAGACCTTTTTACCAGATTATTCATGTTGTAAAGCGCCAGACTGCTGTGTGGGAAGTCGAGGGTCCAAGCCTCAGACCGGACCAACTCTCAGTGTCTTAAAATAACTGATACGAATGTGCTGCCTTTGTTATGACGTCTGGAACTGGTTAGTCATTCGAGTTTTCTCGGAGAAGGACGAAAACCTGAACCTTAAAGAACGCACGCACTTCATGCAAAGAATAGTACCTAAATCTTTGTATTGTTAATTCCACGATAATTTCGAAGTCGATGACGAAAATGACTGTTGCAAAATAGATAGTGGTTCATTAAAAGCTCAGCAGTCGCCTTTAGCTCGTGATTTACATCCTTTTCTCGTTCTCTCTCATCTTGCAAGCGTATTTACCACAATTT